CCTCCATTCTCCTCTCGGGATCTTGGGCACGCACGCACGCATAGCACGCACACGTGCCCGGCGTGAGTTTTAAGCCACCGGGTCCGGGACGCTAACCGCAGTCGACTACGTGGGAGTCCAGCGACATAGCCATTACGCTAACTGCTGGTTCCCAGCCTGCGTTTTCATCCCCACCCAGTCTAGTCTGCCATGCGAGCACAGCGTCCTGTACTTCCACGGCGAGGTTACCCAGATGCGGTGCCGTAGTTAAATGCATATTGTTTGTTATGGAGTCAGGTGAGTGAGGTGTTTAAACCACGCACTGGGCCCCTTCGTGGAGGTGCACAATGGCGCCACTGCAGGGAGGCAGGAGGCTGCACCCAGGCCCTGGTTTGGCTCCCAGACCTACCCGAGTTTGCTGGTGTGGGTGTGCACCCCTGTGATCTCGTGGCTGGTGAGGCTGGGTCAGGAGGATCGCCTTGCAGTGAGCTGGGTTGGGCCCGGAATCGAACCTGAGCCTCCCATGGACCTCAGCCACCGCACGGTGGTGCCGTCCTGTGTGCAGTGGCGGCTGGGCCAGGTCATTCTGAGGATACTGTTTGTTAGAATCCGAGAGCACTGGGGGGGGTTGGTTCCTGGATACACGTGAAATCTGGGAGGTATGGGTTCCAGATTGGGGACTGGGATGCAGATACATGTCTGCATTTACAGAAAGCCTCGAAGGTGACCCCTGCACACACGTGTGCCCTCCTGTCCGACGGGGCCTGTGTGTGGACGCGTCTGCTGCAAGGCCCCTCCCCTGCCGTCGGGCAGAGCACCCCGTCCTGCCTTGCCACAGGCTTTTATTTTCAAAAGTTCACTCACAAGCACCTTTTATAAGTCACTTAACACAGTTACAGCTTTCACCTTCAGTGTGTGTTACTTACCTTAATAAGATCTTTTAGTAATTTTTTTTTTGTTCGAAATAATTTCAGACTTACAGAAAAGTAACTCTTGCAAAAATAGTACAGAGAACTTAAGTCTGGCCTTCACTCAGTTCCCCTGAGTTGTTAACAGTTTGTATTCCATTTTCTCTCCATCATAATACTACTTTTCTTTCTCTGAAGCATTCGAGAGGAACTTGCAGGCATGGTTGTTAGCCCTGAAGGGAAAAGCTACTTTAGTAACATTTCCTAATAACAAAGACATGAAGGGTGATCAATATCAGGAAATTAACATTGTTCAATACTGTTGTCTAATCCTCTGACCTTGTTAATACTCATCAGTTGTCTGAACAGTGTTCTCCATAGCAAAATAGTATTAATAATGATGGAATGATAACAGTAATGACGATCGAATAATAACAGTAACAATGAAAATAACAACTAATAACAGTAGTATTCTTTTATAACAATAAAGTAACGACAGCAACAATAATAGAAGAAGAGAAGAAGAAAGCGACCAGGGTCCAGTCAGGGGTCGTGCTGCGTTTGGTCTTGGTTCCCTTTACTCTGTTTTAATCTAGATGAAGTTCTCAGCCTATCCTGTGTGACCTCGGCCACCACGCAGTAGCTGTGACATATTTGAGGAGTGGAGGCCAGTTATTTTATACAGTGTTCTTGTTTGTGTTTATTTGATTTTTTTTTTTTGTGATAATAGATTTACTGTGTGAAGTTTTTCAGGAATAACATAAAAGTATTGTGGTCTTCTTGGTATGATTTATTTTTAAATGAATGGTCATTTTAACCTTGGTTTTTCCTTTGTTGTTAATATTTTATTCTTTTGGTAAATTTTCTTTTTTTTTTTTTTTTTTTGTGCTTTTCTAATTGTTCATTTAATCACTAGTTCCCAAGTACTTCCCTGTTAAGGCAGTGCGGGGACTGCAGAGGAGGGAGAGCAGAGACCGTAGACCCAAGGGGAGGAAGGGGGAGCACCGTGGGTCCTTCTGTGGCCATGTGGGGCCTTGACAGTGGTCAGGTGTGTAGGCCCCGGGGTCCCAAATGCCTTGTTCTCCTTTGTAACCTCCCCCCTTCCCCGTGAAATGCGTAAAGTACAGGGATCTTCAACAAGTTCATGGAAAAAGTATATTTTGAAAAAAACTATGGTGGATTTCAGTTTTTTTGCATAAATATAAACTCATTCCACTTTCCTGTGAACTTTTTGACATCTCCTCATATGACAGAAAGATGTATCAACCCTCTCAGAGCCTTAATGACTGTGTCAGTATAGAGCTAAAATCATGCTTAGAACATGTGAAATGACTCCTGCCACTGAAAGGAGATGAGTCCGACCTGCTTCTCCTTCCTGCAGTGAGACAGGCTGACCTGACAGGTGTGAGTTCAAGGTCACGGCGGGGAGTCCCACAGCAGCTTCGTCCTAGACCGTGCCCTCGGCCACCAAGAGCTCCACTCTTCCTCCCCCGGCAGCTGTTCTGGCCTGAGCCCGCCCGTTCTTAGCTGCCTTCTCCTTATTCAGATTAGTGGTTAGCGTTCCCCAAGGGAGTGGAGAATTGGAACTGCGGATGCTAAGTCTGTTGGATACTGGAGGGTTACTTTTCTTAAAGCCTTTCTTTTCCCCCCTCACTTTGTCCCTGTTATTCTCTCTCTTTCTTTCTTTCTTTCTTTCTTTTTTTTTTGGTTGGTTGTTTGCTATAGGGAATGTGTGTTCACTGGCAAGAGAGAGACAGAGAGGGAGAGAGAGAGAGGGAAAGGGGGGAAGTATGCCCTGGGGGGTGACGGCCGTACCTTGTCCTCTGTTCTCAGGATTTTGGGCGCACGTGCACACAACACTCAGTGTGTTTTTCAAGCCACTGGCAGGACTTGAACCACAAATTCGGCCATAGGGATCCAGTTCCCTTAACCAATACCCCATCAGCTGACTCTCTTGTACTTTCTAAGTTTATTTCTTTTACGAGAGACAGAAGGAAATCTTGCAGGATTTCTGAGTGCGGCCACATTTGTGTCTTGCAGTCAAGAAGAACAAGAAGCGCAGACAGAGAATGGTCAGGCAGAGTTTATTGAAAGAGAACAGCTCCGGACAGGGAGGGGTGCGACGAGAGGTTGACAGCATGGAGCTTTTTTTTTTAAGAGATTTTTGCCATAGGTATGTGTGCTCGCTGGAGAGACAGACAGAAAGGGAGAAATCACCCCCTGGGGGATCATCATGCTGCAATCCCTTCTCCATTCTTCTCTCAGGATTTTGGACACACACGCACACACGCCCTGCATGAGTTTGAAGCTGTCCGGACTGGGACTCAAACCTCGGTCAACCAGATGGGAGTCTAGTGCCTTAATAGCTACGCCACTTGCTGGCCCTGACAGTGTGGGTCTTCTGTCAAGGGGTTCTATCTAGTAGTCTGAGCAAGAGGCTGGCCTTCCGATAAGGAAGTAGGCTTCAGAAAAATAACTGCAGTCGCTCCTGAAGCCAGCTTTCTTCTGTTGACTACTCTTAGCTGATTTTGTTGCAAATTATTACTCAAGTCTCTGTCTGGGGCCTCGGGACCACAAAGACCATAATCTCGGTTCTGGGGTAATGGAGATATGGAAACTTGTTGACCCCCAACTCTATTTGGAGCTCTGAAGCAGCTGGCTGACTGTAGAAACAGCACGCGCAAACAGCTTCATCATAGAGAGTGCTGGTAGGAAGGGCTAGCGCCTCACCGTTGTCCGCTGCCTCCCTAGAAACCTGACGGCGCGGGCAAATGAAGTCTACAGAGCAAAATGGTCTCTCCTGGCCCTCTCTCCTTCCTAAGGGAACTGTGGTTAAGTTTTTTGTTTTTAGTTTTGTTGGCAAAATTCTCTTCTGTGGAGCATTAGAATGTCTTCGTCTCTGGAGCAGGGCTTGGCTAAGCAAAATGTAGTTAGGTGGCCTGGGTTTCCTTCTCTGAGTGTAGATTTCCCTTGACCCCAAGTCGGGAGTCCGTCATGCACTGTTAGGGGGAGAGAGAGAGTGCAGCACCTTCCCTGCAGAGAGAGAGAGAGCGCATGGTGGGTGGTGAGTGTTGGGATGAGGACCGAGGTGGGGATAGTGTTGTTGCCAGAAGAGTGGAACTGGGTTTCCCAGATGTGGGTCTCTATCTTAGGCTACTCAAGCTTTCTAAAACATGATTTTCATCTGAAGCACTATAAATATTACATGAACAATGAAGGTAGTTTTCCCCATTAATCACCTGTTTCTGGGATATACAATCCTATCCAAAAGTTTTTAAAGAGAAAGGAGTTAATTTTAATGCCTATTCCCAACAAATTATGGTGGGAAGTATTCTATAAATAAATAATAATGTGTCACAAACTCATTGGAGTAATTTTCAGATCTGATTATCTTGCTATCCATATGCCAGGGCCTTTAGTGGGTTCAGCATTTGAAGGTGACTAGACTGCGTCTTCCCCAGCCACCTCTATGGTGATTTGAAGTCAGTTTTCCTCCCAGTTGAACCTGAAGGCCTTGACTACATAGTCTCTAACCACTTACCTGCTTATGACATTCTGTTCTATACTAATTCACATTTAAATATCTCTGTTATATAAATTTCTTCATTCAGGAAAAACATTCTTTTTTTTTTGAGAGGTTTTCACTATAGGGCGCATATGCTCGCCAGACAGACAGAGAGAGACAGAGAGACAGAAAGCGAGAAATCACCCCCAGGGGGGACGGCCACGCCGCAATCCCTTCTCCTCCATTTTCCTCTCGGGATCTTGGGCACGCATGCACATGTGCCCGGCGTGAGTTCTAAGCCACTGGGTCCGGGACGCGAACCGCGGTCGACTACGCGGGAGTCCAGCGACATAGCCATTTCGCTAACTGCTGGTTCCCAGGAAAAACATTCTTAATTTGACTGTTTTGAAGATCATCTTTATTAATAAAGCATCCCCCCAAATGAAAGATTCCTAGCCCTTTCTTAGTGACAGATAATGTGATCTGTAGGTAGAATAAGTGTCATGCTATCTTGGAAGCTGTAGGAGTGTCAGCGTTTTGGTCGGTTTATTTTACCTTCGTATTGTGAAGAAAAATGACACACACTGGTTTCTTCCTATTTTTCTCAGCGATTGACTTGAAAAACGGTTCTGGAAAGGTGTATCAAGGCCCTGCGAAAGGTTCTGCCGACACAACCATCATCCTCTCAGATGGAGATTTCATGGATGTGGTCCTCGGCAAGCTGGACCCTCAGAAGGTAATAGTCTCGAAAGAGTCATTATCGTATTGCTTTTTATTTGAAAAATTGCAGGTTTTTTTTTTTTAAATTTTTGTTACTAAAGGTCTGGTGGGCTTGCTGGAAAGAGAAAGAGAACGAGAAAGAAGCTCCCCAGTGAGGCGTGGCCATACTATCAGCCCTTTTCCTCCGTCTCTCCTCCCCAGCCAGATCTTGAGCGCGCACACACTGGGCGTGCCTCTCGGGCTGCCAGGCCCCGGTTTTAGCCAGGGTTAGCCACGTGGCGTCCAGCTCCCTTAACTCCCAAGCAACAAGGCTGGCCTGATAATGGCGTTTTTTGAGCTGATTCCTAAATTCTGATTTATAGGACAACTTTGCTATTACTCTGAAGAATATACAATTGGTACTAATATCCTGGTTGATAAATCATATATTTTTTAAATGGAGTTTCAGTTGACTTTTTTTGTTTTGTTTTGTTTTTCCTTTATGACATAGAATGGGGTGGGAGAGAGAGAGAGAGAGAGAAAGAGAGAGAGAGAGAGAAAGAGAGAGAGAGAGACATTGCTTGAGACTTTTTTCCTGCCATGGAGGCCGTGTGCTCGCCAGAGGGAGACACAGAGAGGGAAAGTGAGAAATCACACAGGGGAGATGGCCATGGCGCAGTTCCTTCTCCTTTCTTCCTTTTGAGATTTTGGACGTGCCTGCGCATGTCCCTGTTGTGTTTTTTGAGCTGCCAGGTCTAGGACTTGAACCACACAGTTGGCCATGTGTTATCTAGCCCCTTAACCACCACACAACTCGCTGGCCCCAGGACATAGGCATTTTCAACAGGTCTCGCTGGGTCAAGCTCCTTCTGTGCCAGCCTCCAGGTGGCTGGGACTACAGGCATGCATAGCCCTGTCTGACGTGCGCAGATTGGCCCAGGAGCTAGACCTCTCACTCCTGTGTGGCTTCTCGTCTTGGCTGGGCCTCAGTTGACACTTTCTGAGACTGAATTGTGGGGTGAAATTCCTCTTCAGCATTCAGTCAACTAATATAAAATGCATGTCTGTACTTCTATTTTAAATTGCCAGGGAGTGTGTATGCTTGCCGTGGAGAGAGAGGGAGACAGAGAGGGAGAAGGAACCTCCTGTGGGGTGTGTTCATACCGTATTCCCTTAAAGGAACCCCCAAGGGATGTATCCACACCATATTCCCTTCTCCATCTCTCAGTCTGTTCAGGATGCGTACGTGCCTGGCATGCCAGGTACAGGATCAGAACCGTGCAGCTGGTCATGTGGGGTCTGGCTCCCTTAACCACCAGGCCTTATAAGAGACTTTAATTGTTTATGTTCTATGTTGTGGCTCCCGTCCTGTAATGTCAGCTCTGGGAGGACAGGGACAGATGTGATTCCTAGCTCAGTATGCTGCAGACCCTCATTACACTTGAGTAGATTAAAGCAAGTAGTTTCGGCTATGTAAAAATTAGAAACTTCTGCACATCAGTCTCTATAAAAATGTTACCATGAACCTGGAGGAGAACTATAAAGAGAATATATAATATCTTGCTGTCACTAATACATAAAAAATTGTAGAAAGCGCTATGACCCCCAGCAAGGAAAGTGATCAGTAGATATGAACCAGTAATGAAAGAATTAGAAATGACTAACATATGTAAGAAAAATTATTTTCCTAGTATTCAAAAAATGCAAACTAATGCAAACTAAAGCATGTCTTTTTTTTGCCTCAGATTTTACAAATTAAGAAAATATATATATATTTTTTGGAGAGGTTTTTGATATAGGGCGCAGGCACTTGCCAGAAAGACAGAGACAGACAGAGAGGCAGAAAGCAAGAAATCACCCCTGGGGTGGATGGCCACGCTGCAACCCCTTCTCCATTCTCCTCTCGGGATCTCGAGCATGCACACACACGCGCCTGGCTTAAGTCTAAGCCACCGGGTCCGGGACTCGAACCACAGTCAACCACATGGGAGTTCAGCGACATAGCCATTATGCTAACTGCTAGTCCCAGGAAAATATTATTGTTAAGGTTTACGTAAGAGACACATGCAGCTGGCGAGAATATGCAGCGACACATAGTCTTTTCTAGAAGGTGTGGTGGCCACGCTTCTCAGACTCTCCTCCTTTGTAGCAGTTCCCAGTCTCCATACTCTTTGCATTGCACTCTTAGGTCAGAAGAAATAAATCCCTGATAGTGTAATTTTTAAATAGTCATGTTCATACAAGAGGAGTGTTTTGTGTTTTCAACTGATGTGGTCGTATCCCCCTTGAAGACGTTAAATATTCCACATGCCCCTGAGTGCTCCTGATGCCCGAGTGCAGCGTGGTGCACAGTTTGGAAGCTGGCCATGTAGAGGTATGGTCAAGAACTTTATTTAAGAACTGCTATGGGGCCAGCAGGTGACATGGTGGTTAAGGCACTGGGCTCCCACATGGTTGGACCCGGTGGCTTGAAAATCAAGCCAGGCGCATGTGTGTGCGTGTGCTCAAAATCCCAAGAGGAAAATGGAAGAGAAGGAATTGTAGTATGACCATGCCCCCTGTGAGATGATTTCTCACTTTCTCTCTCTCTCTGTTTCTCTCTCTCTCTGGTGAGTACACATGCCCTGTGGCCAAGAAGAAACCTAAACATAAATAAATAAATAAATGTTATGACTCAACAATTCTTCTAAGAATGTGGTTAAGGCACTGGGCTCCCACATGGTTGGACCCGGTGGCTTGAAAATCAAGCCAGGCGCATGTGTGTGCGTGTGCTCAAAATCCCAAGAGGAAAATGGAAGAGAAGGAATTGTAGTATGACCATGCCCCCTGTGAGATGATTTCTCACTTTCTCTCTCTCTCTGTTTCTCTCTCTCTCTGGTGAGTACACATGCCCTGTGGCCAAGAAGAAACCTAAACATAAATAAATAAATAAATGTTATGACTCAACAATTCTTCTAAGAATGTGGCCTAAGGATAGTCCCATGGCCATAGTTAAGTGTTCTTAGTTTAGGTCGTCCGGCCTCAGAGTTCCACACCTGGCAGGCTGGTCTCAGCACTGGCATCTCCTGCAGGTGTTGCAGACTGGCTTCTGTAGCCGCATATGGGAAGCAGTCTCTGTTTTTGAAGTTCCGGTTTCCCATTTGAATAAATACCTCGCATTTGATTATGAGTAAATGAGTTCTCCCTCATAATTTCTGGGATAAAAAGTGTTTCCTTTACCTCTAGTTGATGAGAATCTGCTTCTGAGATTAAATTGCTGCGGGTTGACTCGCAGGAGGTGGTGTTGAGCCAAGAACACCGAGTTCAGGTCCTCGCCCTGCGTCTTGCTGGCTCCGTACCATGGACAGCTTATTTAAACTCTCTGAGCATCAGTCTCCTCGTCTGTCTATGCAGAGAACTGCTGACCTGCCCACTTCAAGTTAGGGCCGTGATTCTTAAGTGAAATTACATTTGTGGAGCGCTTTGTAATGCCAACTGTTAATGATACTACTGTTTTTCTCACCTTGCTAGAAACCTAGGAGCTTCCTTTTGTTATAATTTTTATTTGACCCTTATAATAGCTGCACATACTTAATAGCATTCAGTGTGTTTTTTTTTAGTACATGAATGCAGCCTGTGTTGCTAAATTGGAATAATGACCATCGTCACCACTCGAAACCTTTATCCTCTCCTTGTCTTGTGAACCTCAGAATCCAGTCTTCTACCTATTCTGAAATATTCATTAAGCTGTTATTAACTTTGGTTACTCTACTCTGTACGTTAAACCCCTTCCCTTAACCTAACTGCAGTTTCGTATCTTAGCCAGATTCTTCATCCCCTGCTCTCTCCCCTGTATCTTGTTCACTTTATCTGTGGGAGCTGCATCGTGGGGGGACGATGTGGCTTGCACCGTTTCTCTCTCAGGTCAGATTCAGAGGCAGTACGGACTCGGTGCTGTACCACGCCAGCCTTTCGCATTGGCAGCAACGATGCGCTTAATATGCGCTTACTTCGTATCAAACACCAAGCTAAGCACTTTACTTATTTTTTAAAATGTGTGTTTGTTTATTCCGTGAGTCAGAGAGAGAGAGAGAGAGAGAGAGAGAGTGAGAGAGAGAGAGAGAGAGAGAGACAGACAGACAGACAGACAGCATCCCCAATGGGGTCTTGACACAGTGATCTGAAGCCCAGATCTCGGGCACACGTGCCTGGCGTACTCTGGGAGGGCTCTGGGTGTGAGCTGACAACCTTCCCCGTGGGCCTGCCTCACTGAGTTTTAGTACCGTGCCACAGTCCAGCCCACTTTTTCTTCAATTAACTCATACAGCAAAGCTGTGTTATTTAGGTCCTGTTGTCATGCCTTTCTATAGATGAAGAGCCTGGAGCTCAGAGATTAAGTGATCTGCCCAAGTTTACTGAGCTACTTAGTGAAGTCTGGCCCCCACTCCAGGTTTTTCCCATAAGGCGTGTGTGCTCTCCAGAGAGAGAGAGAGAGAGAGAGAGAGAGAGAGAGAGAGAGAGAAATCACTCCCCAGGGAGGAAGGCCACACTGCAATCCCTTCCCTCCATTCTCCTCCTGAGAGTTTGGACATGAGCACACACATGCCTAGATGATTTTCAAGCCACCAGGTCTGGTCCTTGAACCACTATGCCATCTCTTGGCCCTTGAGCCTAAATTTTTTTTTTAAGAATTATTTTAACTTTATTTATTTTTATTTGACCAGAGAGGGACAGAGTGTGTATATGTGTGTGTGTGTGTGTGTGTGAGAGAGAGAGAGAGAGAGAGAGAGAGAGAGAGAGAGAGAGAGAGAGAGAGAGAGAGAGAGAGAGAGAGAGAGAGAGAAAGAGAGGGAGAAAGCAAGCCTTCAGGTCCGGGACTTGAACCACAGTTGGCCATGTGGGAGTCTGGTGACTTTAACCACCACGCCACCCGCCGGCCCCGAGCCTGCATTTTTAACCCAGGTATTCTGGTGTTGCATGCATAATTTGCTCACCGGTGTACTACATTATCTTGTTTTGTTATGATGTGGCTTTTCTCTTCATGAAGATGTAATACATATTTTTAATCTGCTTTTAGAGTTCCGAATTGAATGTTTTCGTTAGGGATACAGTATAGTACTTTATTCATATGGTCTCAAACGGAAGACCACAGAGTCAGAGGCACAGGTGGAGACAGAGCTCCCAAATCTGTCAGTTCAGATAAGTTATTCTGTGATTTCCTAAAATATAGAGGCGTATTTTAAAAAATTATTTATTTAATTTTATTATTATTGTTTCTCAGTTTGCATTGTGCTCATGAGAGACAGCGAGAGCGAGAGTGAGAGAGAGAGAGAGAGAGGGAAAGTGAGAAAGCAAGCTGCCAGGTCCAGGACTCAAACCGAGGTCGACCGTGTGGGAGTCCAGTGCCTTAACCACCAGGCCAACTGCTGGCCCAAGGGGTCTTTTTATATATTTTTTTCTTTTTCTTAGAGAACTGAAAATCCAGGTGCTATCTATCATCATTAAACAATCAGTGCCAGGTGGAAGTTGTCATTGTCCAGTGTTAATGCCGTTGTTTTCAGTCTGAACAGCGGTCTTTTACAAACGGGCACGTAGAGTAACGTGAAGGCGGGTGCTCTCTCGCTCCTCTCTGCAGGCGTTCTTCAGTGGCAGACTGAAGGCCCGAGGGAACATCATGCTGAGCCAGAAGCTCCAGATGATCCTCAAAGACTACGCCAAGCTCTGAAGGCGCGCCGCACTGTTCATAAAACCAGAATAATTAAATATTCTCTTCCCCCAGAGACGCGTCATTATTCCAGCACAAGTGATCAAAACTAAGATACAGGGGAAATTGCTTCACATTTTCAGATTTTAGACAACTGTTCAGATTTTCATTTTCTACTAATTTTTCATGTATGATTATTTTTACAAGGAACCGTAAGCTGGTACATAATCTCCTTTTGTTCTCAGATCTGTATCTTCATAATAAAAAATATTCACCCAAATCGAGTTTCTTTAGAATCTGTGATAACACATACAAGTTGAAAGGAAAATTAACTGAATAAAAGCCGCTTTGATACCTTTTACACTTCATTTCTTTGTGGTTTTCTTTTCCCAGATTGATTGATATCCCGGTTTTAATGTGAATTTCATATGTGTGCTCAGTTTTCACATTTCAGTGTAATAATGTTCTGCTTTAGACAAGAGAAAGGCTTTTTACTCCCAGGTTTTAGTTTTTGTTACTTGCTGGAAATTCTCTCCTGTATCGATGCTTGCAGATCTGTCAGGTGTACAGCCATTGCAGGCCACTTGCATGTCACTAACAGAAATACTTGAAGCTCGGTCATAGGGTGTGCATGCTCACCAGAGAAAGTGAGGAAGCACCCCCCGGAGATGGTCACACCACGATTCCTTGTCCTCCACGCTCCTCTTGGGATTTGGGGTGTGCGCGCACACACACACACACACACACGCGTGCCTGGCATGTTTTTAAAGCCACCGAGTCCGGGACTCAAACTGTGCACTTGGCCAAATGGGATCCAGTAGCCTTAACCAACATACATACCCCCCGGTTGGCCCCTGAGCCTGAATGGTTTTTTATAAAGGAGGTAGAGGTTTGTTTTTATTTTTTAAGTTTTTTGCCATAGGGCACATGCGCTCACTGGAGCGAGACAGAGAGAGGGGATGTGAGAAATCTCCCCGGGGGTGGGGGGGTCTTGCCACAGTCCCTTCTCTGTTCTCTCAGGGTATTGGCCATGAATGTGCATATGCCCAGAGTTATTTTCAAGCCACCAGGTCTAGGACTTGACTTCTGTTGGTCACACGGGAGTCCAGGACCTTAACCACCCTGCCACCTGCTGTACCCGCGATGGGTTTAAGACTCACTGTTCTGGTGGCTGGAAGCCCGAAGGCCTATGGCACGGCTGCTGGAAGCGCAGAGGATGGCAGGTGGGTGCAGCGCGCTCTCTGAGCCGGCATCGGCGGGGGCCTGTGGACCATCGTCCGTGAGACTGCTGCCTCCGTGGTGCGGTCACCACCCACCAGGCTCCCCCTCCCCCACATTCCAGAACCTGAGCCGTTGGGGGATAAGGCGTCATCCAGACCATAACTGCCCGTCCCCAGGGTTCATGTTTTCCTCATATATAAAATAAAATCCTCTCTCAGTAGCCCCTAGGCTTACATTTGCTTCAGCACCAAATCAAAAATTCTCACGTCTCATTTGGTACCAAAAGCAAGCTCCCTTTTTTTTGTGTGTGTGTGTGGAGAGGTTTTTGCTATAGAGCGCTTGGCAGAAAGAGACAGAAAGGGAGAAATCACCCCCCAGGGGGATGGCCATGCCGCAATCCCTTCTCCTCTCGGGATCTTGGGCACGTACGCACACGTGCCCGGCGTGAGTTTAAGCCACCGGGTCCAGGACTCAAACCACGGTCGGCTACATGGGAGTCTAGCGACGTAGCCATTACGCTAACTGCTGGTCCTGGCAAGCTCCTTTTGCCTGTCAGCCAGTGAAGCAAAAACAAGTCATATTCTCCCAGATCCAGTGGCAGAGGGGCACAGGGTGGGAACTCCCATTTTGCCAGAAGAAAAGAGTAACAGACTTCCACCCCGAGATCCCTGAACTGTGTCCTGGACACGGAGGCAGCCTGTCCGCAGCCTGTCCTGCCAAGCGTCCGGCAGCCTGTCCCCGTGACGTTTTCGGCCTCAGTCCATGGTTCAGCTCTCTTCAACCAGTCTCCAGTGTGTGTGTTTTAAGAAGACGTGTGTATATACACACACACACATATGTAGTGTATGTATGTATAGTATATATATTTAAATTTTATATATCATTTATGATTTATAGTATATATATTTCAATTTTATATATCATTATTTTTTATTTTGATACTCACCAGACAGAGATGGTGGGTCAGGTAGGGTGGAGTGAGAAAACCAGCTGCCTGGGCCAGGACTCACACCGTGGTCAGCCATGTGGCAGTCCAGCGCCTCAACCCCCGTGCCTCCTGCAGTCGGGTTCTCAGACTGAGGCTGCGAGCTGCGAGCTCCGAGGTTCCGGGACCTGGGGCCGCCCTGCCCTGCAGCTCCCTGGGCCAAGCTCCAGTGCTCTCTGCTGGTCCCACATGGCCACGGGGCCTAGCAGTAAGGGAAGCTCTCCATGTGGCCCTGCCCTGCGCCAGGCCTCCGGGAAACGCCCAGGCTTGTCTTGTGCATTCTGTGAGTCTCCGTGTGGATCTCCATGTTCTTGGATCCTGAGAACTCGGAGAATCCCCCTCTGCAAGCCGCCAGTGTCCTCCACCGGAGCGCTGGGGGACCAGGGGGAAGCGGCAGCCCTGATGGCAGGTCGCGCTCCGCCTGCTCTGGGAGGGTCCTGTGGTGGCTCAGGACGGGATCCCCCTGGCCCAGTCCCCTGGAGCCTCTGTCAGGCTTCTGCGCTCCTGCTGGGGGGTGGGGTAGGAACAGTGTCCCTGGGGTTTTCCTCCCGTCTTCCTGGCATTTACCACCGGGATCCGCATCCGGATCTGGCTCAGCTCTGGTCCCGCTCATCTCTGACCGCACCTTTCTCTGCGGGACCTGATTTACCTTCCTTAGCCACGTGACCAAGATGCAGATTTCCCCAATTTTTCCACTCTGGTTCCTTCAGTTTCAGCTCTGTCTTTAAATCGTCTCCCTCCGCATTTCCCCCTGTGCTCTCAGGATAGCCTTCGCTGTCTACACGGTTAGCCCTGACCCAGCGGTCAGGGTGATCGGCCCAGTCCCCGCAGCCAGGATCTTAGGTTGCGGCTCAGAGAGGGGACGGTGAGTGGTTTATTAAGAAGGAAGGGAGAGCAAAGCTCCCAAGGAGGGAGCGGTTCTGGGCCGGGTTTTTAAAATCTGGGTCAGAGGGGCTTCCTCCGGGCTTCTCTTGTGCACGCATTCCTGTTGTGGTGGTGGGGGGAGAGTCACATGCTACGTGGGTCTGGAGACGGTATGAAGGTCAGGAAATTCTTTGTTTAAAAGCTGTGGGCTGTCGGGAACCAGCAGTTAGCGTAATGGCTATGTCGCTGGACTCCCACGTAGTCGACCGCAGTCCGTGTCCCGGACCCGGTGGCTTAAAACTCATGCCAGGCGCGCGTGTGCGTGCGTGCCCAAGATCCCAAGAGGAGAATGGAAGAGAAGGGATTGCGGCGTGACCATCCCCCCTGGGGGGTGATTTCTCGCTTTCTGTCTCTATGTCTCTGGCGAGTGCACGCGCCCTACGGTGAAAATCTCTCAAAAAAAAAAAAAAAAAAAAAAATTAAAATTTCCAAAAAAAAAAAAAAAAAAAAAAAAAAAGCTGTGGACTGTCAAAACCATTATCTTCTTCCCGGAAAGTTGTGGGACCTGGAACTACGCCTCTGTTCCAGGTTGTGCTGTCTAGGTTATACCCCCACGGTGGCCACCGGCTCTCCCGAGCAAGAGCAGAGCCACTGTCTCCATTTAAAACTCAGTCACTTGGCGATTCCACTTCAGGCCTGCGCCCAGCAATGATGTGTCTCTAGGGTCCCTGTTTTCTCCTTCAACAGTGTGGTCCCAGCCACATATCCAGGCTCTAAAGAGGTCCAGCTCACTTTTAAACAGTTTTCTAAGCCTCGGCCAGAATCTAGGCTTGTCCTAGTTGCCTCCTCCTTCCCACCACCCAGTTGCAAAGGTGTCCCACGCTTTCATGTTCCTGCGACAACGCAATCCTGCTCAACTGCCCCGATTTCTGTCGTAATCTGTTTGCGTTGCTCACAGAAATGCCTGAGCCTGGGTGAGTTTACTTTCAAACTTTTCATGTTGATGGCTGGAAACTCCAGAGGCCTGGACCTACAGCAGCTCAGAGGATGGTGGGCATGGGCAGAGAGCTGGAAACTCCAGAGGCCTGGACCTACAGCAGCACAGAGGATGGTGGGCATGGGCAGAGAGCTGCTCTTGTGAGAACGGAAGCTCCCTGGGCTCATGATATCACTAAACCATTCATGAGACTGTTGCCTCCAAAATGCAATCCCCGCGGTCCTTCCAGCCCAACACCTGGCAAAGCTAGAATCCATGCATCCACCTGTAACCAGAAAGCCTCCGTCACAAACCTCTCCTTATGGCCTAACACCTAGCCAAACAAGGTAAGGGGGTCTCTGTCTCCTTTCTGTTTCTGTCTCCCCCTCTCACTTTCTCTTAAAATCTTTTATATATATGTTACATATGTTTGTTTGTTTGTTTGTTTATTTATTTATTTATTTATTTATTTTGCTATAGGGCGTGTGTGCTCGCCAGAGAGAGAGAGAGAGAGAGACAGAAAGTGAGAAATCACCCCCCAGGGGGGATGGCCACACCACAATCCCTTCTCATCCATTCTCCTCTTGGGATCTTGGGCATGCACACACATGTGCCTGGCGTGAGTTTAAGCCACCGGGTCCGGGACTTGAACCGCGGTTGACTACATGGGAGCCCAGCGACATAGCCATTACCCTAACTGCTGGTCCCATTTTACATATATGTTTTAAAAAATCTGTCGGTACCGTCTCTTGTCTCTGACCTCTCCTCTCTCTTGCTAAAAGAATCCATGTGCATCTGAGGTGGACCCAGCTCTGCCCCTAGCACACTATGTGTTTTGTTTTGTCTTGTTTTTGTCTTTGTAAAAAGAAAAAAAGTTTCAGGACCAGGCAGTTGGTGCAGTGGCTTTGTCACTGGCCCCCCATGTAGTCAACCATGGTTTGAGTCCTGGACCTTGGTGGCTTAAACTCACGCCAGGTGCGTGTGCGTGTGTGCCAAAAATCCTGAGAGGAGAATGGAGGCGAAGGGATTGCGGCATGGCCAACCAACCTGGGGGGTGATTTTTTGCGTTCTGTCTCCCTGTCTGTCTCTGTCTTTTTTTTTAAAAATTATTTTATTGAACTTTATTTATTTATGTATGTATTTATTTTAATTTGACTAGAGAGGGACAGAGAGAGAGAGAGAGAAAGCAAGTGAGAAAGCAAGTCGCCAAGTCCCAGACTTCCACCATGTGGGAGTCCAGCGCCCTTAACCACTAAGCCACCTGCCGGCCCCATGTCTCTGTCTTTCTGGTGAGCCCAAGTGCCCTATAGCAAAAACCTCCC